CACTTCTGAGCGCTACTTTGATATAATGGGAATTAGTTCTATATAAATATATATACATATACGCACAGTGGGAAAAGTCCGCAACGAAAGAAAGCGAGACTAAACGATTCAATGTGGCAAAACTGTGCAACATGTGTCAGTATGTGTGTGTGGCAGAGATGACTTTCTTGCCACAACGTAGTCAACGGCAGCCGCAGCAGCAACTGTGACAAACTGTAGCCCACTGCAACGAAATGCATTTACGCCAAAACGTTCCCGTTGCCCATTTTGCTGTAGCTCAAAACCACTTTAAACTAACCCAAAAAATAAAGCAGAAAAAAAACAGGGAGAAGAAATAAAATGTATCGCATTTCATTGCAGCTGCCTCACACATGTGTGTGAGTGTGTGGGTGTGTGCGTGTGTATATGTTTTATCATTAACATCAGATGCCGACGAATGCCGCAAGGAAGTTGCAGTCTTGCCCCATTTGAGCCTGCGGCTTGAAATTTTGTGCCACTTGTAAGTGGCAATGCAGATGAGGCAGGCGCATCGTTTACATTAAACAAACGAATTTCAACAAAAGCTCAACGGGACGACAATCGAGTGTGCGTGCGGGCGGGTTGATAATGCCCGACACAGTTTCCTGTGGCAAGTCCTTGCTGCGTCTCTTGTATGTGTGACAAAGTGCTGTAAATTGAGCGCATCACTAAAAATAGCAACATTTTGCATATGGAGACTTGACGACAACAAGAACAAGCTACATTTTGATATATATGTATATAAAGATATATATATATATATATATATATATATATATATATATATATGTCTCTTTATATACCTATATATCAAAATGTAGATAGATATATATATATTCTTTATATATATTTATTTATATATATATTTATACATATATGCCTGTAACATGCCACATATCAAATGTCTCTCAGGGCGAGAAGCCATTCAAAATGTGTGCGTGGCCGCTGCGCGTGCGCAAAACCGCAAACTCAAAGCAAACCAGGCGGGGCAAGTTTCAGGCGAGAGAGGGTCAGAGTGGGTAGGGTGTGGGCTGGGTTTTGGGTTTGTTGCATGTGTGTATGCATGCTACAAGCCGTAGCGTTTGTCAAGAGCGTGCCGGACACATTGGCAATTTAACGCCTGCTTGTGCGGCTGCAATCTATGTGCATGCGTGTGTTAGGCAGGTGCAAATTGTGCGCTCCTCCCCCACAACATTAACACTTAAGTCCTTGTCATCGTCATCATCATCATCATCATCATCATCAGCATGGCAACGACAGTGAATAGCTCTCTCTTGTCAGGCGTAACATTACCACAGCCAGTAGAGTTCTATATTGCCAATGGCAATTGCCAACAATAAGAGAGCTATAATCGGGCCCCAGGTAATCGGCCAAGCGTAAAGCCGCCTCCGCCTTTGACTGTTCCAATCGACCAAACATGTGTTTCCCATATGTGTGCGTCTCTTTTATTTTTATTTTTTTTTTTCGCTGGCCCAATGCGATTTTCAGCACTACTAAATTGTTAATTGCCATAACACTGTACGCTGCAGTTTTTCTTTGGGGCTTGCAACAAGGCTATAAAAATATGTAAAATACATATACCCTGTACGTCATTAAAAAAGGGTTTGTAAACAGTGTTCAATGTTTTAGTGCAAATATATGTACCAGGCAGAAAGGGTCAGATATATATATATATATATATATATATATATATATACATATATATCTATATAGAGTTTACTTGTATCGCTAAACATCTATAAATTAAATCGATAATCAGTAATTCGTATTGATTAAAATCCAGAGATCGATAACTTATGTCAATAAAAATCGATTACATATCGAAAACCGATAACATCGACAAAATTTGATTTTCAGATAGATAGATGGATAGATACTTCGAAGCAAGGAAATATGTGAAATATTTTCTCATAGTATACACAGATCTAGAATATTTTACTCCATACTAAACCACTTATAAATGCCATATTTAAACCCTGAACATTTCATTAAGATTGCTCAATGGCGACCGAAGTTTTTGAAGAATACATGGTATCTTTCAGTCGAGCGCTCTTTTTGCCTGCTTGCCTTAGTTAATGTAAAAACTAAAATAGTTATAACTATTTATTGTGCATCTATCAACATGTGTATCATGATTTAGTTCGACATTCATTTGAGGTGTAGTCGGAGCCAGTAATATTCTATAGAATTTTGTTTTGCCGCAGGCAAGTTCCTCAGGAACTTCTTGTAAATACTGCCAAAAGTCTTGTATCGCCCAGATAACTTTTGTAACTCATAGATGCTTTGATTTTTTAAGGACAGATATTTAAAAGATATTCCTGAATATCATTGTTACTACTTTTTATATCTAGCATACTTTTAAAACTCACAGATGTCTTTAAGACTTTTTTTTTTGTTTTTTTGTGTGCGGCAGATAATTTGCATCTCTGAGATAGTTACGTTGTGCAAGCACATTTGAATCCTATAGGTATGTTTTTTTTTTAAGCTTTTGTGTGCAGCAGATACATTTGTATCTTGGAGATCTTCGCATCATAAAAATACTTGCGATTCTTACAGAAAGATGAACGTTTTATTTTATATTTGTGTGAAGCAGATACATTTGTATCTCGGAGATCTTCGAATCTAACTGACATAATTTTCTATATATTAATTTTAAATTGTAGCTGGTTTTTGCTTGTTGCTTGTCAAAATAAAGATATGTTTCCTGGAAGATATAGTTTTCAAATTTGTACCAAACCAGTCGCTAGAAATAAAATCAATTTTTTTTCTAGTCATTTAAAGCCATTGACAATATTTGGTACTTACATTTTCAATGCATTTTGTCATTTGCCGCTGTGCTTTTTAGCTTTTTAAAGGATATACTTTCTATGAATACGATACAACATTCTGTCGCTGCTGATATCTGTTGCTGTTGTTGTTGTTGCTGCTCTTGTTGTCGCTGTTGCTGTTTTGTTGCAGTTTTTTTTGTTGATAGAGCGAAAAAATAAACAAATTACTTGCGTGGTTATCAATAACCATGCTCTATAACGGGCGTTTGTTACTTTTGACTGTGCTGTGTGTGTGTGTGTGTGTGTATGTGTGTGTGTGCCCAAAAGTGAAAATATATTTGCATGTTTTGCGTTGAAAATGAATTTATAATCCCTAAAAAATGGGTCAGCCCAACCAGCAAAAATGTTTATAAAAGCAGCACAATCCGAAGCCAACCAGCACTTCTGTTAGACTTTTCTGTTTATTGTTGTAGCTGTTGTTAATGTTGTTGTTGTCGTCGTTGTCACTTGGATTTATTGGATTTATTACGGCACGGCGCAAGCTACTGCCCGGAGCTCTTCTTTTTTTCGGGAGCTGGTGCTAGGAAGGTGATATGAGGGCGGGGACTTGTTTCTGAATCCAATAAAATAAAATTGTATTTTATTTATTTTTTTTTTAAATTCGTTCTGCTGCATTGTTGCAATGAAAGAATATGCGAAGGTTTTTATTATTTATTAAAACTGCAATTTTATATTTCCATAGACATATTGCATTTCGAACAAGTCTCCTTTGTCTATTGGAATGCACAAAAACAACAGCAAAGTGCAACCACAACAATAATAAATGGAACAAAAACATGCACATTTCTTTACCCTGCATTTTCATAATTTGTGTGTGCAAATGAAATTGAGATTTTTGTTCCAACTTGCACACGCACACAAAAGTAGCAATAATGTAAAAACATTTTCAGTTTTTTTTTAGCTATACATTTATGTAATATATCTCAACACTAATTATAATTCATTTTCTGCGTATGCTATTATATTTTAAGATTCACATATATATTTATCTTCGTTCCGAAATATGTTTGCTTTTGGATCAAATTATTTTTAAAACTGGTTGTCAACACTATTGTTTTTTTTTTTTTTTTTTTTTTTTTTTTTTTTTTTTTTTTTAATCTAGTTTTCCTAATGTCATTTTAAACTTGCGCGGAGGCATTAATTTTGGCTTTTTAAAACCATTCTTGTTTTATCTAAATACATTTGTGTTATACTAGTCGGTATTACCCGGCCCTGCCCGTAGCAAGTCTTGTGCTACACATTTATGATGATTTTAATTCTATCTTGAGCTCCACTTTTATCCGAAAACATGTTTAAAGTTCGTGGAACCAAAAACCATATGTTGGCCCTTTTTAGTCTTGTGGTGAGCATTTTTGTGTTATTAGCTTTTACGCTATATTTACAATCGAAACTTGGCATATTTCAATAATAATATTTTCTCTCACAAACTGCACACACACGCGTGTATATTCACGCTTGTAAACTGTATGAATTTTGAACAATTCAACAATTTAGAATTTGCGCAGAAGTCATCATCTGAACCTTTTATTGAAAACTTATAATGCCATTGTTTTCCCTTCTAAAATTTGTTTATTGTTAAACGTCTGACAGTTTGTAAATAAAATACTCAAGAAAAATAAAATAAATAACAATTTACAATTGACTTGCAGAGTTAAACAAAACCAGAGCTAAAAATAATAAGAAAAGTGCTGAGTATCGAGGCGTATTTAAACATTTAATTGCTACTCGCACTTGAAACAAAAAACGCAATATGCACATTTATTTACTCATGGGTGTGAATTTGTAATATATTTGAGTTTGTCTTAGCATGCACCAACAAATATATTCAGTGTGCGAATGACAAACACAAACAAATTGATGGCTATGAAAATTTTTAGCATTAAATGCGCTTAAAATTCTCAAACGGTTCTGGCGTCAGCCTTGGCAAATGCCTTGACGAAAATGCAATTAAGTCAGATGCCTAATGGTTGCCTGGCTGCAGCAACTGGCCATTTTAGTAAAAGTAACTCATCTAATTAAAATGCACTCGCCAGAATCCTTGAACATGGCCGATGTATGGCCAGGGTCATGCGCGACACTAAACGCCCACGCTCTGGGAATTTGTTTACATTGAGAACTTGAACAAAATGCTCATCATCAACTATTCTCTTGCAGATGCCATTCCCCAACAACAACAACAACAGCAGCAGCAACAACAACTTGGAGCCCAAGCAGGACAATCGCACCAACAGCAACAGGCGCCGCGTTTTACAACGCATCCGTCGTCATCGGGATCCATTGTTAGCGAAGGACGCACGAAGATTTTACAGTGTCATGCGCTGGGTAAGTTGAAGCCAACAATAAGTTAGTTCGAAACTTAAGCCTCGGACATGGAGCCGACTTGGGCGTGGAACGCGTCTAAACATTACACTTGTCCTTCAAAATGTCTGACAGTGTGCAGCTTAAGGATCTCGTGCGCGGGCGAATGGGCATTGCGGCAAGTGTCATGTAAAATAAAACCATAAACGAAAAGACATTTTTTTTACCCATCTTTTCCATTGTGTGTCTGTGGAAGGGTGGGGATGATGGTTGTGTTTTGGATGAGCGGACGCCTTTTGCTTTTGAAAGATAATGAAGTAGAAAAACAATAACTTTTATGAGGTTTCCAACGTTTGGGAAGCCCCCGAGAGAGCGGCATAATCCTCAGAGCCGTTTTGCTATGGGCCGCACAACAGCAAATAGGGGGCACTTAAGGGCGTGCACACGCCTACCCACAGCCGCAACCATACACAACCACACACACACACACACACACACACGCAAACGAGCACACACAGACACTCACAGGTGTTGCTCGACTGTGGGTTAAGCCTTCTGCGTCTGACATTTCCAAGTATCGGTTACATATTGTTTCGTCCCAAAATAAAAAATGGTTATGAGCTGGCTGCTGGCAGCTCGGACTTGGGACTCGGGTTCGGTCTCGTCCTTGTCATCAGCTTTTGCCGTTTGCTGTTTGTGTTCAGGCCAGAGTCCTGTGAGAGCCCTCAAGACAATTTCGAGCCCTGATGTCCTTGTGGCAACAGTTTATCCCTGTTCCTACGCGAGCTTGTGTATGAGTGTGATATTGCCTTTGTGCCTTATAGCCACAGGATTCGCACAATTAGCCGTGAAATATTTAAGAATTAATGCATATTGGTTCATTGATGAGCCAAAAGGCCTTTTGACCCGAGTGCATACCTTTGCATCTGTGTGTGTGCTTATGTATGTGTGTCATTTTGGCAACTTCATTTTCCCAAAAATGCTCTTTAGGTTAAATCGAATTGCGGGCTGCTCACTCGACCTGGAAGCCTTCAAGTTTGTTCGAAATTTTTAATCATTGTCAAAGTGGAGCAGTTGGATATCCTTTTATTTACCGGCAACCGTTTTTACCTTTAAGTTTTTTTTTGTATCTTACAAATACTTTTGTAGCTTTGTTGATTATGTATTTGGCGAATGCGTTTGTATCTCAAAGATACTTGGTTACTTTTTCGCTTCCTAGAAACTTTTGTGTCTTTCTAGATACTATTCTTCCCTAATAGTTCATCAATATCTGTTTGTATCGATATGCTTAACTCTATGCTGCAAATACTTTTGTATCTTTGTTATTCACATTCTAAATACTATTGATGAATTATATTTAATATTTGCGCTTTTTTATAAAGTGTAATCCAGATATTTAATGTATCTGGTGCAGATGAAATATGTTTTCGTATCTCAGACGTGTGAGGTCTTCCGTATCTAATAGAAACCACGCTTAAATCTAATACAACGTTTTTAAGTAAAATATGTATTAAGCTGATTGGTTACTGTTTTTGACGTGTTGCATTGGGGTTGATTCTACGTAACATTTATTCAAAACATTCGAAACACGTCAATGCAAACGCTGATCCAACAATCTGGCGGGTTGCCTGTGGCCCTAAGTGATTGGTCTTTGATAGCCGGCCCATTTGAGCAGTTTCAGTTGTGTATCTGCATAGATAACTACACACACACACACACACACACACACACACACACACACACACACACACAGCATATATGCATACATGATTGTAGTCTAGAGGCTCGTTGTGTTTGGGTTATAGGGTATATACATATGTGTAAGTGAAGGCCGTGAACAGCGTTGCACTTTGCGCATGCTGCAAAAGGGGCAAAGGCAAAAATGTGGAAACCGAAAGCAAAGAAAAAAAAGAGGAAAAATCGGCACACCGAAGATTGAATATACTTGTAGACTCGTGGCTTAAAGATTACCAGACCCCTGAAGCGCATAAATGAAGAGAGAGTTGCAGATGCATAAACTGAATTACCAATCGATTCTTTCTATTTAGCTATTTTATATTATTATATAAAAGTCTGTGGAATGTGACTAATATGTGAGGAACATGGTAGAGCATGTTTATTAATCAAGAACATAAATCTTAATCGATTGTTTCTAGGACCCATAGTTATCCGATCCAGTCGATTCTGAGCTTTATTTACAGCCTGGAAGAGAAAGACGAACTTATGAAAAGTTGGAATGCTAATAGCAACAACATTGAGAGATTTGTACATGAAGAAACAGGCAGACAAAGAAATGAGCGTGGACTCAGCTATTGATGCTGATCAAGAATATATATGGTCTATAGAGTACGGCGATATCTCCTTTTATGCGTTAAAAATTTCGTTCAAAAATTCGAATTCCCTCTGCAAGGGTATAAAAATGAACAGATAAACAAACTTTAAAAACAAAACATGCATATCTTTTTAGCTGCTCTTTGGTGTTGCTGTTGTGGTTGTTGTTGTTGTTGTTGTTGTTGTTGCTGCTGCTGCTGGTGTCACACATGCCGCGACAAGCATTGCCAATGGCTGCGGCGCTTCACGCACTCAGTCACTTTGGCGCTTTCAATTGTCAACACACAGATATGTGAGCACACACGCGCAAGCATAGATACAGATAGATAGATACTTGTGCGAGCTTGCGGATGCACACGGATGTGCACGCGTATAATATATGTGTGCGTGTGTGCATAGGCATTGCAGGCTCTTCCCGCCTCTAAACTTGCTTCTCTCTTTTTATTTTTATTTTTACTTTTACTCCTTTTTTGTATTTTTTACCAGCTACTTTTTCATTTGGCGCTCTACGAAATGCAAGTTTTGTGGCTTTGTAACGTTTCTGCTCTTGACAATAAAAACCAGAAAATAAAAATAACAAAGAACAAAACTAAAACAATGTGAGATACCCTTTGAATTCATTTGAGGCTCGCTGAATATTTGTCTATAAGTCTTTGTTATTGATTCACAATTTGAGGTAAGCATTTCATTTAAATAGGTTATTTTGATTTTGCTAGCTTTTATTTTTATTGCTTATAATTCTCAAGTGGTTCTATGGGCAAGGCTTGCGCATATACGATTCGTAGCAATGTTTGCGGACAATTTGTCAATAGTTAAAAATTTGATATGCTGCCTGCTCATGCATGATACATACGATAGGCATAATCGGAATTCAGAACCTGGTTTATAAAACATTTAAGTACATGATAGATTAAATATTCAAGTATGCCTTCTTGAAAGACTTCAGTTAAAAGAGTTCGATAAGTGCTCAAAGCATCAGGGTTCAATTCTCTGCAGATGCCGCTATGTCTAAGCATAGATCAAAGGAAGTATTACTTTCCTGTGGAGCTTAGTTTGGCTATATAATCTATAACGCAGCTAGGATTTTATTGATAATCAGGCAGCCTATGGGTGTATAGATCACGCTTCTCGCTACACACTCTAGTCTAGGTCCTATCAAAATTGTAAAAGAAAGGCCTATAAATCTTCCCAAGTCAACAAACTCTGCTAAAGCGTAATTGGTGAAATCGTAAACAGGAATAGGCCGCCAAGCGCATAGCATACTCTCAGGCGCCAGCTTAAGTTGCCCCACAGAATTTTGATGCTGCGGAACTATTATCAAATGAATGCGAAGAGATTTAGAGGGCAGAAAGAAGAGGCGATTGTTCTGCTGTTGTTCTAGTTGTTGTTGTTTTGTGGCGCCATCTGGCGAAATGGCGCGATAAACTGCGGTTAGCAGATTTGGTAAACAGGTAAAAACTGTTAATCACGATTATCTACGACAAACTGAAAGGCGTAAGAGGGAGGGGGCATGTAACTAATATGCCAGCAAGCCACCAGCGAGTGCAGCAAGCTGCAAGTGCTGCAAGAACTTCCCGGTGGCAGCACTCGTACTTTAGCTGTGTCATAAGCATAAAGCCTGGCAAAATGTGTGTTGAATTGTTTTCTAGCCAACAAAAATAAAGCCGAGGGAGAAGTGTGCACGAGTGAGCCGAGCTGAGCCCGATGCCGCCACGTTGCCGCCTGCGTTTTAAATGTTGCGCATTCACTTGCAACAAAGACTCTTTTATGGCTACAAAGCCGTTGCCGTTGCCGTTGCCGAGTGCCACTACCTAACGCTAAGAAGTTCGAGCATGGCAGCAAATGGGCGGCTCGCTGGGCGTTCCAGCAGCCAGGCGAGAGACAAAAGATGAAGAAAACACACACGTGCGTGGCTTACACCCACATTTGGAGCTTGCGTTTTTGGGTCTTGAGTTTTGCACCAGCTTTCCCACATCCCTCTCATCTTAAGCGTCAACACGCAAAACTAACAAAAACATATAAATAACAAGACGAAAAAAAAAAAAAAAAAAAAAAAAAAACAAAGCAGCAAGAAGCATTACTAAGCGAAAAAAAATTGTATTGTTTTTGTGTGTTTGCCGCTGCTTGTTCCATAAGGTTTTTTCTTAAGCTCACAATGCGGCTTCGCGTTTTTTGTGCTTGTTTTTATTGTTATTCCTGTTGTTTTCGCGCTAGTACTATTTCCCTGCTGTTGTTTAAGGCCTGTATTGTTGCTCTCAAGATACAGGATAAACAAAAAAAAAAACAATAGAAACGCATCGAGCCGATTGGACTATACTCTGTTTAGAGCGTGAAAAAAGCTGACGAAAAGTTAATGATTCTGTATTCTTGATTTTTTTTAGCTTGATCTTCAAGGCAAATATTATTTAATCTAATCTGCCAAATCTGAAGGCTATAGCCCTAAATCTGTTGAAAAGTTGGACTCTCGCGATTTGCCAGTATAAATGTCGACTCTAAAACTCTCTATCTTATACATGCAAAAGTAAAACTCATACACTGCTATGCTAAACGCAAGCGCATATACCCCCTTTCCATCTATTCAACAGAGTATTAAAAATGAAAGAAAGTATTTTACATGAATATATATGGACAGCAATTGTAGTGGGTGGCTGTAAATCGTCGGACAGGTACTCATAACACTAAACAAGCAATAG